GAGAGAGAGAGAAACAGAAACATCGATGTGAGAAACATCGACCAGTGCCCCTTCTGTATGCACCCAGATTGGGAATTGCGTCCACAACCTAGGTATGTGCCCTGACCGGAAATTGAACCCTCAACCTTTTGGCATATGGGATGATGCCCCAACCAACTGTGCCACCCAGCAAGGGCTCCTCAGATTGATTTCCTTGCCTGGTTACCCTTTGGAAAGTGTTCATGTACCTCACTTTAAAGACTACTTGATACAGGCAGACCCATACTCCACTGGCAATTGTTATCAAGCTATGATAGCCTGATGAACAATGCCTGGAATGTAACAGGAGCTCAATAATTGTGGAATGAATGCACTTATTTCCTTTATAGACGCTAAAGGGGGAAACTCAGGATCCTGGTAGTCCAACCCATCATATTTTTGATCAGGTAGATTTTTTTCCTTGTTCCTCTTAAGTGGCTAGCTGTATCATGAAGATATTAAACCCAATAAAATTCATGTCAGAGAATTATAAAATTGCAACAATTAAGATTTACCTGTCATTTGAACCTGGCAATTGGGACTGCTCATTTATGAGATCTGAGATTGCTCTTGCGTGCCCTGTAGTGATCTGTATTTCAGAATTTTGTTTGATGGTTAAGAATATACTGCATAAAAAGAACAACTTTCAGTGAGTCTTGATGCAGGTACTTTGCTAGAGGTGGGATATCTTAGGTAGGGAGGTATCTGAGCTACTTGTGGCTTGGCCAGATTTTGGAAAATGTACTGTGATGAGGAGGAACAATATCCTCAATTTCCCCTATGCTCTAGATTCCCCTCAGGATAATTATTGATATTGCTTTTAAAAATAGACGAGAGAGACAAGTTTCTTCAAATTCCAAAACCATTAGGAATAAGGTGGATAAATGAAAAATTTGAGTAAGTCCTGTGTAGAAGCTAGAAGACACTTGGTGTCTTGAAAGCTTTTTCCAGCTCTAGGATAAGCTATTGAGACAGAGGAAAAGATGACAGGCAGAGGAGTTTCATTTAGTCTTTTAATAATAATAATAATAATAATCATAATACAAAATCCAAACATTTCTTTTTACAAGTTCAGATACATATTTTTCCCAAGTGCAAAATAGTCTATGAACTGCATCATTTACTGTTGATTGTGTAGGAGATGCTTACAATATTGGCAGCAGTGGAAGGCATGTATAAATACAATATTTTGAGATTTCTACATGAAAAAAAAAAAGCCTCCCACATGATGGTTATTCTGAAACTTCAGTTTAGCTCACACAAAAGAACGGTTTTCAGCTTGTCCATACTGCTGTAAGTCTGTGTTGTCTAGATAAGCTGATAACAGAACTGGGGATTCTATTCCCTCTAATCGTGTATTTTCTTAAAGGGTTTCTAGTTCAAACAATGGCACAAGGACAGGCTGTGCTACCATGGAGACAGGTTGAATTTAAAGATATCCTTGTGTTGTTTGCATCCACTTTTTTCTTACTATGCTTAAGAAATAAGCCAAGCAGGCTAACATTACTTTCTGCTTATGGTTGGTTATCCTTTGTCTCCCTTCCCCTAGTCTGAGCCTCTTATATTGAGGTTAAGCAGCAAATAGGAAAGTCTGATTGCTCTATAATGTTTTCTGACATTTTGAGATATGACCTTCTAATCCATTCTAGAATCATCTCAAACATGCATATGGAGAATAATTCTTGGATACAAAGTTTCATTAGGGCCAAAGATTCAGATCTGTACTACTGAACCTTAAGCAACAAATCTGACCCTCCACCATATCAAACTAAACCAAACCTGGGCAAGTCAGAGCAGTCACAGCTCAATAGCCACCTCTGAGGATTTGTAGGCCTGGGGCAGGTGGCAGCTCAAGTTCAGACTCTGGTCAGTTTTCTCCTGACTCTTGAGTTCCTTCAGGTTTAGGGAATGGGCCTGGTCTAATAATACAGAAGGAGGGAGACAGAGAAGTGAAAGGGATTCCATGTTGCTGAGGATATAAGTATCTTTCCGATATGCATCACTTTGTGCTCAGAGCCCCTGCAGAAATGGTTTCCCATTCCCTTTCAGATGAGGGCAGGTTTTGTACTAAGATAAACGAAGCCTTACAGTACTGTGGCCCTGTACACACCCATCCTGCAGAGTGGCCTCTGGCCTGACTCAGGAACGATTCCCATCATTCCACTTCCTCTTTTTCTATTTTACCTGTAAAGGCCTAGAGAGTCCCTGAGTGTTGACTCCTCAGTCAGTCCACATAATCCCTAGTTTGATGCCCCAGGGCTGGCTTCTGCCATAGGTTCAGCAAGCAGCATTGCCTGGCTTCTTAACCCCCACAACCTGGAGAACCTAAATTAAACTTGGTGGACGTTAGCAGGTCTTCACTGCTCACCAAAATCTGTCTTGCTTGACATCAGTTAAGAAGACTCGAGGTCTATACTTTCCGTACTGTGGAAATCTTTTGCAGGTCCCAGAAAACAAACCAAATAAAAGACTGCAGGAAGTGTGTTCATATATGTATGGCAAGGCGAAGCCAGACCCTAAAGGCAGAAATTGTGAACCACTCCAACTGGCTTTCTAAAAGAGATGCAAGTGATAGGGAGAGAGGAATTAAAGTTATCTTAGCTTCTTCTGGTGGAGAATCAGGATGGTCAAAGCTGATTAGTTTTCATGGCATTCCCCAAGGAGTACGGATACTTCTATTAAATGATCATTTTCCTGCTTGGAGTCAGTCATTTTGGATCTTTATAGCAGCACTCTCTCTGAGCCAGAGAGACAAAGGCAGCCAGACGGCTTCACCCCTAACAGCCATGGCGTTGGCTACTGGATGTGAGGGGATCCAGCTGTGACATTGGTTACCTAGCCCCAAGGCTGTTTTGGCTGGTGAATGCTACTAGCTGGGAAAAGGGTAGGAGGTCAAGCTCTTTTATTTAGTGTTAAGTCTCCTGTGGGGGCAGTAGCCTGGGACGGTCCCTTAGAAATAAACACTACGAAGTCAATTGGTAGCCTTTGATTGAGTAACACTGTAGGTTTGGGGGAACCAGAAGTAGCAAGTAGAAAATAATTTTACAGGCAGTGGTAGATTGTGGGTGGAATGTGTGCAGGATCTGGGCTTGGGTGTGGATTTGATTCTTTTTCCTTTTGAAAAGCAGTACTTCAGGAAGCTAGGCTTGAAGTCAACTCTGAGAGGGAATGGCCAAGGTCAGGCAAATAACTTGATACCTGGATAACTGTCCGAATCTTGGCTTCCTCAGCCTTGTCTCTGGCCTCAGGGCCCTGAGTCAGCCCCATCCCCAGGGGGTTTGTCCTGGTCCTCTTCCAGTGTACACTAGGGGAAAACAGGATGAGGGCAGGGAAAAGATGGAGGTTTCCCTCTTGGGATGGAGAATCACTGACCAATTCCATCAGCCTATACAATCATGAGGTCCATGCTGAATCCACGGAGAGGCATAGGGATAGTAGAACTGGTTTAACAAATACAGGTCCCTCTCCTTTCTGCTTCATAAAGTCCCCAGAATTACTGTCCTACACATCAGGTACCTCTGAGCTATACGGCCCTGGGTTACCCACATTGAGGGCTCAAGTCCAAATGGCCACTGGTTGAAGAGTAGAGAGAAATCAGATGCTCCAGCACTGAAAAAGTTCATGAGATCCAAAACCTTTTTTCTTCCACTCCAAACATATACTCTTCTCTGTTGGGAAGCTATAAATAGGGTTGTCCTAATAGAGGAGAAAGAAAAACAAAAAAACAAAACCAGAAAACAAAAAAACCCCTCCCTCTAGACAACACAGACAGACTCAAAATGATTGCACTTATTAGAAATGGACAGGATGGGCAGAAGGCTTGCCAAGTGCACACACATTCCTCTTGCTGCCCACAGCCTGGGGCCAGAGGTAGGTGGCTCAGGGCTGGCTGCAGAGTGGGGTCCTCTTTGGTGGAGCCCACAAGCCATCTGGGGCTACAAGGGAAAGACAACTCTGAGGTAAGGCCCAGACTGGCTTCCGCTTAGCAGCCGTGTTTCTTTAAGGGCAACATTTAGCAAGGAGACTAGGGCTCCCCCAGGGAGCACTTGGGCAGGAGTGGGAATGGCTAGGCCAGGGAAGACAAGTGAGAAAAGGGATTAGTGTTTGAGGCTGGCTTCCAGTTGTTCTGTAGTCTAGTCCTGTAGATGATACAATTTCTTTTTCTTTTTCTTTTTCCTTTTCTTGGTGGTGCTTCAGAATCTGGTTTCTGTCCTGCAGAGTTATAGTTTTTCTCTTGGGAGTGACAGCAGCGCTTCCAACATGGCAATGCCTGCTGCTCTTCCTCATTCAGCCGGTGTCCACTAGCCCAGTGGTGTGAGACTCTTATAAGCCCTCGTGGATTGGACCCCAGACAGACATAAGGAGGAAGAAGGGGAGGAGCTGTACAGACAAGGAAGCCAGATGTTTGGGTGGTCCAGGGCTGAAACCATGTGCCCCAGAGGACCAGTGCTGGCATTAAGCCTGTAAGTCAAAGGCTTCTTTGGCAGAACCCCGGGCTATTAGAATCACCTGGGGGGCAGGGCACAGCCAGGGGACATTTTGGCTCCTGACTATTAAGGCACAACCTTATAATGGCAGAAGCCCCTCTCCCTCCTCCCCATTCCCCTTTGACCCACTTCTTTTCAGGCCTCTAGCACCCTTACAAGCTAGGGTTAGGAATGTGAGCTGGTAAAATCAGCAGTGTGGCTGGGGAGGAGAGTGGGTCCTGTTCCTTCACCCCTCAGGGGTAATAGAGCCAGTACTGAATGGCTTTTCCAGGGAACGTGTAAGAAAAGGAAAAACAGGAGAGAGGGAAAGAGAGAGAGAGAGAGAAAGAAAGGAAACTAGAAAGACAGAAAAGGAGAGCTCTTGGTCTATATAGTGATTTTTTTTTTTTCTCTAAAAACAGAGAGGAGAGAGTTCCTCATCTGAGGGCGGGGGCTGCCAGCTCTGAGGGCTAAGGAGTGTGGGGTCTTCAAAACCTGGGTCTTGGGCATAGGGTACTATTTGTAGGGCCTCAGGAAGCTGGAAACTTTGGAGCGGAGCAGCTTAATGAAGGATTTTGGCAGCATCTCCTTGTGCTTCTCTGTGTACTTGAAGTAGTTCTGGGGGTGAGCCAGCACCTCAAAGAAGGCCTTGATGAGCTTCTTGTCCTGCAGAGGATGGTAGGTGGCAATGTCAGCATCAGCGATGGGAAAGAGGAACCCCAGCCTCAACTCAGCAGTAACCTCTCTTGATGTCAAATAAGGCATACTCAGAGGTGAAATGGATTTCCCGCCCCCAATACCTATTCCTCCTCAGAATTATAGAGCTTAGTCAGTGGCGGCCCCATCCTTCCATTGCTCAGGTCCCAGTCCTTGGAGCCATCCTTGACTCCTTTTTTACTCACAACAGCAATCCTGTTGATTCTACCTTCAAAATACATGGAGGGTCTGACCACTTTTCAGTCTCCACAGCTAGCAGCCTGTGTGAGCCACCATCGTATCTCAGCTGGGCTATTGCAATAGCCTCCTAACTGGTCTCCATGCTTCTGCCTAACCCGAGTTTCTATAGGTTGTTCTCCCCACACCAGCCAGAATGACTTTAAAAAAATGTTATTTTATTTTTTTATTATTTTTTTGCACGTCACATATCTCTTTATTGACCTTCATCCATTGGATCTGGCCCAGGGTTCAGCCTGTGGGATCTTTTGGCTCCCGCTTCCCAGGCCCCACCTCCCACATCACCACAGGTGAACCAACACGAGAACCATCTGCCATTTACAATCACAACAACACTGAAGGAGGAAGACAAAGTCCAATATGGCAGGCTCTTGATGTTTTTCCTTAAGACAAGCATTACTGAGATGCTGGCTTGTGGCTTCATACCCAGGCTTAAGCAGGGCTTCTTTTTCCCCTTCTTAAAAATGAAAAGTAGAAGTGAATAGAGTAGTGGCTATGATGTGGCCAAATTGCTCTCTCTGGAGAGCACACCTCTACGTCATTCTCCTCTGCTTTGACTGGCGGTCCAACTGGGCTGGAGGCAACGAGATGCTCAGGGTACCCGCTTTGGGCTCCTCCTCCCCACTGGTTGCCAGAGACATCTTTCTTTTAGAGATCTTCAGCCTCATGGCTTTTGCTCTCTCGATCATCATTTTCTCGCTGAGCTTCAAGTCCCTCTGTAACACCATCAGGTTGACCTGGAAGTCATTTATGTGCAAGGTGAGTATGGTCACATACACAATGATCTTCGCTTTCATAGAGGTGGAAATTACATTTTGTAAACTGTCATTGCGGTAGGTCAAGCAGGTAAAGTGCTACAGCAGTTTGGTGTTGACAATGTGTGGAACTCCAGGTCCCAGGGCACTTTTCCACTTAGTCACTTTCTGCCACTAGAAATTTGATGAGTGTGTCCAGAAACCATATGCATCAGGCCTGGCGGTCTCAGCAATCTTCATTGGATGGCAAAGATTTCAACACTTCTATGACAAAGGAACAATGGCTGTTTTCTTTAATCATCTTCAGTATTTCTACTGACGTGACATTCCTGAAAGCTTCAGATGGGCTCTGAAGAGCTTCATACTCTGCAGGGGAAAGAAGGTCTTCAAATTTACACACATCTTCAGGCTTGGCTGCATCAGTGTGGCAGGGAAGAAGGTAGAGGGAGTTATCTTGCAAATTATTGTGAATGGCATCGTTGACCAGAGCAATCACACCCTTTGTATCAATAATACTCTCTGCAGCTTTAGCTACTACACGATTCTAAGATTCACTGCCAACTCTGTTCATTCTCTTGGAATTCAGAGCCTGCTTCTGTTTGATGGTACCAAAGGCTTCAATGCAAGAGTCCATCTGAACTCTAACAGTTTTGCTCTGACTCTCGAATGTCAATTCACTCTCAAATGAATCATCTGAAAAGAGTGGCTGCATGTTGAACAATTCAGCATCATACACTTGCATTTGGCCAGAGGTCTTGTTCAAAATTCTCACCAAGTGCCTGCATAAACTGTTGCAATTGAGGGCTCCAGTCCCAAAATTGTTTCCCACATCAGAAAGTCTGTCTATTTCAGCTGCCAGGATCTGGTGACTCCTCTTCCTGGGATTTGTGGAGTCTTTGCTCTAGTACAAGGTAAAGCACATGTTATCTGGATTCTGCAGCTTGCTGTTGGGGAACTGAACCAGTACAGCTCTTTGGCTCTCATCGGGCTCCCCACAGTACAGCCACTTCGCATTCGGCAACACCTCTACCACCATTTCCCCTGTGTGTTGGTTCCCACGTGGAGGCAGCGCGGTGGGCCAGAAGAGGCGTGACCTCATTGGGCCTAAACATTTTTAATTAGGTCATGTTCTTTTCCCATTCAAAACACTTCTCTGGGTTTTTTCATAAAGCTAAGTTCCTTGCATGGCCCATAGGCTGAGTGTGATTTGTGCCCTGTTGTGTCTTTCATCCCTTCTTGACTCTTCCTTATTCTGTGGAGCCACACTGGCCTTCCCAAGGTTCTTGAACATGCCACACTGCTCCCATGCTCCTTAGCTTAGATCACTCCTCTGCTGATTGTCTGATAGGTAGTCCTTTACCTCATTCAGGTCTCTTCTCAGCGGCCTTCCCTGACCACCCTGTCTGAAATGGCAACAATGTGAGGAGAGCCTACTAGGTGCCAGGCATTGTGCTTTAGGATCCAGATCTTCTGGCTTCTAGACTAGAGTTCTAGTTCATTTCATCAGCGGATTTTTAAAGTAAGAGATGGGGCTTCCAGTCTCTCATCTTTACTTTAATCAAACGTCTCTACTACTTTATGCATTGGCGCTCCATAACACATTTTAAATAAAGGTTCAGATGCTTTAAAAAGTGTTTAGAAAAAACATTGCTGAAATTGTATTTTTTGCATTCTGCAAGTTCTAGGAGGTTTTTGTCATCATGTCCCTTATTTTTAAAAAAATACTTTATTTATTTAGGGGGAAGGATGGGAGAAACAGAGGGAGAGAAACATCAATATAAGAGAGAAACATCAATCCTCTGCCTCTCATACACACCCTTACAAGAAACTGAACCCACAGCCTAGGCATGTGCCCTGATCGGGAGTTGCCAGTGACCTTTTGCTTTGCAGGACGACGGCCAACCAACTAAGCCACACCAGTCAGGGTTCCTGTCCCTTATTTTGATGATAATACAAAAATAGTAACCATAGAGGCAAATCTTTTCTTTAAATCCTTACCCGAGGATATGTTTATTGATTTTAGAGGGGGTGTGGAGGTGGAGGGAGAGGGAGAGGGAGAGGGGGAGAGAGAGAGAGGGAGAGAGACAGGAACATCAATATGAGAGAGAAACATTGATCAGTTGCTTCCTGTACACACCCGACTGGGGATAGAACCTGCAACTTAGGTATGTGCCCTGACTGGGGATCAAACCTGTAACCTTTTGGTGCATGGGACAAAGCTCCAACCAATTGAGCCACTTGGCCTGGGCAGATGCATACTTTTTAAAAAATAATTTTATTCATTTATTTATTTTTAGAGAGGGAAGGAGGAAGAGAGGGAAAGAAACATCAATGTGAGAGAGAAACATCAATCAGTTGCCTCTCATTATACTCCTTGTCCAGGGACCAAACCCACAACCCAGGCATGTGCCCTGACTGGGAATTGCACCAGTGACCTTTTGCCTTGCAAGACAATGTTCAACCAACTGAGCCATACTTGTCAGGGCAAGACAAACCTTTTTTAAATTAATACTTTAAGAAGGACTGTGACTAGACTATAGTTTCTTAAGTAAGATTTTTCTCAGACTGGGATCCACAAGACCCAGGTGTCTAGCCTTTTCTCCAATGTTGGAAACATTTATTTTCCCTTAAAAGAGGTCTATATTGAGTTAATGCTGAGAAACACTGTGCTAATCTGCTTTTCTGTGGGAGCTGAGGAAGGAGTAAAGGAAGGAAGGGACTTCCACAAAAGCATTTTTCTATACTGCATTTCCCCTACATTTTTTTCATGGAAGAGATAGGGGACATTTCATCTCCTCATCTTTCCTTTCTCTTTCCCCAAGGTGTGGGTGATACCACAGTCAGATGGGCTTAGGCTCAAATCCCAGCTTCACCTCCAGGCAATGTCTGTAATTCTCTGTGCCTCATGTTTCTCATCTGTAAAGTGGGAATGATGAAAGTACCTAATTCATAGAACTATTGTGTACATTGAATGAGAATATTCAAGTAAGCACATAGCATATTGTCTGCATGTTGTTACAAGTTCATTAAATGTTGGCTATTATTGTTTATATTCACTTACCTTTAAAATCTCCTGGTGGTTTTCAGATGCATAGAGCCGGCCATCTCGCACAATGTCTTCCACCAGCTGCTCATAGTCCTCTGCAAAGTCAACCAAGGGTGGAAGCTTAGGGGTGGGAACTCTTCCTGTTTCCCTTGCTGCCCCCCAAGGCCCATGAGCCTCCCGTTTTGCACCCATCTCTCTGGCTCTCCTGCCCTTGCTCACCATCGTAGGTAACATAGGGGATCTGGAAGCCACGGGCGCTGTTGGCTTCACTTGTCTTGAAGTTGATCCAGAGCTTCCTGGACCGGGCTGTAAAGGCGATGGGGCGCTCGTAGGTCTGGCAGGTCTCATAGGTGGTAATGGAGGATGGGGAGGCTGGGAAGGCAAGCAGCTAGTCAAGACAGCAGCAGGGCAGGTGACCCAAGCCCCCTGGGAGTGAGGGCTGTGGGAGAAGGAATCATGCTGAGAGGCTGTCCCCTATGCATGTACTGCCCCATCCTCCACATACACACAGTGTCCCACCAATGGACTTATTCCACAACTCCTATTTGACATGCAGGCACTCACATAGTGTATGAAATCTGACATTTAAATAAATGAAACAGCAAAAACGCTCAAATAGGCAAGTGGCACACATAACATTACTGGAGGTCTAGTCCCAGTGCTGGCTTTTTTACTTTGCTCTCCACTGAACATGCAGTATCACTGCTGTTTTCCTTCGTTAGCTCTTCTCCTCCCAAGGCCTCCCTTGCCACTGCTCCAATTCTTCCTGTACCAGTTTTCTCTCTCTCCCTCCCAACCAGATTTGGACTGCCCTTCCCTGACCCAGCTCTGCAGCCACCCACAGTTCTTTCTCATGACGAGGACGTCCCCACACTCATCCTCAGATGGCAGGAAGATCTCCGGTACCACGATAAGGATCTTGCGCTTGGGTGGGGGGTTGATGTTCCAGATGCACTCCACGCCAGCTGGGTAGTTGCCTGGGTAGTTGGGGGACTCGATATAGCCAGTGAACTCACCCAGCTCCCCACCACACTGACGATCTGTAGTCAAGCGCCAGTGAACAGGGCAAGAAAGAGAGGGGGAGTCAGTGGGAAAATGGGTTGGGGAAACTGAAGAGTTCTGAAGTGGAAATCAGAAATATTATCTGTTCTCTAAGATCTGGGTCCACCTTCCCTCCTGCTCTTTTAGTACCTTTTCATCTCACTTCACCTGGCTTTTCCTCCCCATTACCTGTCTCCAGGGAGAGGATGCTACAGGGCCCAGCCCAGCAAATGGTCTCAGACTAACTGGGTTGGGGAGAGATGAGGGGTGAGACTCTACTGCCCATCCACTTCTCAGCCTTGGCTCCCTGTTGGTTTACTTCCTCCACCCTGCTTCTTCCTATGCCCATTGCTCTCAGGCCTCCCTAACCAATTTTTTATAGCCTGGCCTGCCACATACTCTTGCACTGGGCCACACTGGTGGAGCCATCGAAGTCAGTGCTTGTGTTTCCTGGACAGCGGGTGCAGAAGTTCTGACGGAAGTCAGGCTGATAGGATCCCAGGGCACAGCGGATGCAGCGATGGATACTGGTGTTGTAGTAGTGCCCAGGGGAGCACTGGACTGCAGGAAAGGGGGAAGGTAGGTGTTAAGGTGGCAGACAAGGGGGAGTTCTGGGGCATAGGATGGGCAGGATATATTTATCCTGGACATGAAAGTTTCTTCTAGAGTCCCAACCTTTCCTAGTCATGTCTGAGTGTAAGGCCAGGGGAAAGCAAATTTGACAGTGTTTGGCTACAGTGCCAATCCTTTTCTTTCATGCACTGAGCAGTGCTAAACCTGTACAGAAACTTGTTTGTAGAGTTGAGGGGAAAGTGCCACCAGCTCTCTGAAGCAGAGGGGTAATTGGCGCTGCTATTTATTTATCTAAATTTTTACTTATTGATTTTTAGAGGGGGAAGAGAGAAAAAAAAAACACATTGATTTGTTGCTCCCCTTATTTATGCATTTGTTGGTATGTGCCCTGACTGGGGATGGAACCTGCAACCTTGTCATAACAGGACGATGCTCTCACCGACTGAGCTACCCGGCTAGGGCTTTGGCACTGTTATTTATTCCCCAATTCCCAGGCTTGTGGCTTGTGGCAGGTCAGGATGGGTCCTAAGAGCAACGTGGTGGTGTTGGCCCAGCAGCTGGGCCCTTCTTGGTTTGGGGAAGATGGTGGTGCAACAAACTTGGGGACTGGGGACTGGGAGAGTTTTTTGGAAGTAGTTGGGGTAGGGGAGTCCCCTGGTAGGGTGAGTAGCCTACTCACCTTTGGTGTCACAGTCTTGGAAGGAGATGGCCCCCTCGTGCTTGGTGGTGAGGCCCCCACCACACGGAAAGCACAAAGTCCTTCCTGCTTCAGGTTGGTAGGTGCCACGTGGACATGGCTGGCAGGGCTTGAACCCATCTACAGAGTGTTGGCCAGGTGAGCACTGACCTGCAATGAACCAAGGGCCCAACTCTGATGGGGATGGTCCTGGTCATCCCTTTGGGGTCACCCAGTCTCAGGGGACAGAGGCACACAACGAGGATGTTGACTAGGAGAGTGGCCTGGAGCCTGGGCCTGCCCTTGGGAAATCCCATGCCCATGGGCGTCCCAGTGCCCACCCTACCCCACTCTGCATTGTTTGTTCCCCTGGCACCTGCACACGTGGTGGCGTTGGTGGCTCCAAGAGGCCCGTGGGCATCACTCCCAGGGCAAAGGTCGCAGGAGAGCTGCCCTTCTCTCTCCTGGAAGGTGCCCGCTGGGCATGGCACACACTGCTCCGTCTGGCCGTGGTAATACGTCCCCTGCGGGCAGCTGACTGAGGGAGAGTCGGCCGCGCTAGCCACCCACCCCACCCCCTATTTCCCACCACCCAGGCCTGGGACTCCCCTTCCCGCTCCCCCAGATTTAAGGAGAATCTCTGGAAACAGACAGAATCCTGTTTGGAAGAATCAGAGGTCAAAGCCATGTGCAGGAGGACTGGTCGTGCCACCTGTTGTCCTTCTAGATTTCAGCCTGGGGACCAAGGAGGGAAGGATGATGGGCGGGAGGGTCTTGACTGCCTCACAACTTGAGAGATGCAACTGAGGCCATAAAGTATTCTGCTCCGAGCCAGGCCCAAGCTGGGCCTCGCCCATTCCCATACTCCCCTATATCCCAGCAAGCTCCCTTACCACACTTGGCCCCAGCGCGGTGCTGCCCGGGCCTACAGGCCTCCACCAGCTCGGCTCGCTCCCCAGCTACAGGGCCCGGTTTGTGGGCCAGCTCATAATCAAGGCCCGCCAGGCGCAGGAGGAAGCGGTCCTGGTTGATGGACTTTCTAAGCATCTTCAGGGACCCTTTCAGCCGTCGTTCCATCCGCTGTCGGAGGCAGGGTAGCCCACAGCCAGCTGGTGGTGGACGGTGGTGTGAGTCAGAGGAAAGAAAGTGGCTGTCAGCAGGAGGGCAAGGGAACGGAGCCAGGAGCTAGAGGTGAGAGGGGCTAGCTCCTGGGCTTCGCAATAGGCAGGGTCTACCCTTAGTACAGCCTCCACCCCTCCCCCTCGTTGCTGAGACCTGTGGTTTCCCTGTTTCTGCCCTCCCCTTTCCGCCCTTCTTTCAGCAGTGCTCCCAGTCCCACCTGTGGTTTCTTCGGCTCTGACCTCCGCCTCCAGTTCCAGGGTGAGCCGAGTGACTTCCTTGCCTGGAGGGGTCCGGGCCCTCCGGCCCTTGCCCTTCCGAGAGGAGTCACATTTGAGGTGGATGAAGGTGACCTGGCAGTCAGAGCAGGGGGCACCACCTGGGGGAAAGGCCTTGTCAACCCCAGGGCACCCACTGAGGACAGGGGAAGTTCTCACTCCCAGCTCTCACTCTTGCACCCCAAGCCAGATCTCACCAGGTCTCTGACTGCAATTATCTCCATGCTGTTTGAGTCCAGGATGCTAATTAGTTGGTGTGAGGAATATCCTAGGACTTCCTTGGGCTCTTATACCTACATCTGCTTTTGCCCCTGCTCTTTCTAGAGTTCAGGGTGCTAGTGGGTTTTCCGGGATCTCACTAAGCAAAGGAGCTGAGGGCTGGGAAGTGTTTGGTGGGCAGCCTTTTAGAGTAGGGTCCCCAGTCCAAACCTGGCCCCGGGATTCTGCTGGCCTCCTCCATTTTGCCTTTGTTTCGCAGGTGCAAACGGCATTTGGCATCCTTGATCTTGAAGGAGGCTCGCTGTTTAACTGACAGCACTGCAGCCTCTAGAGAGACGGTAGAAGCTCAGCACAACTTTGGGGCCCCGTGGGGGTAAGGGCTGCTACAGAGGGTGTTGGAAGCTGGGTAATAAGCCAGGGGCTTCGCGGGAGAAGAGGGATTACAAAAGCCAAGGGAATCAGATGTCAGGCGAAAAGGGAGCAAGGTAGCAGGGCTGCAGAATTAGAGTGAAGAAGGGGATCCAGAAAAAAAAAATAAGGCCAAGGGAGTTATGAAGAAGAGAAATAAGGGTCAAGAAGCGAGAATAAGGTGGGAACAGGCCTCTGGGCTGGTGCTCACCATGGCAGTGGTTGGAGTTTGTGCTGTTCCCGGTGTGGCCAGCTCGGGCTGGAATGGCCCTGGGGCTGGGGGTGCCACAGCTCACCGTGAAGCCATTTTCGGACTCTGAGAGAAGGGGGCTGTCACAGCTCTGACCTGCTCCCCACAACCCTCACTGGCTGGATGTTTCTAAGGGAAGCAGAGGAGCTGTCTTCCCTTCCCACCAGCCCTCCAGCAACCTCTTCTATGTACCTGGCAAAAACCGGGCCCGGGAGGGGCAGGTCAGAGCACAGGTGTCCTTCTTGCCAGACCGGCTGCAGCTGAGCATGGCTTTCGAGGCACCGGGACTGCTCAGACATTTTACCGGCTCTAGGAAGGGGAGAGAAGCCTGAGGAGGAGAGGGCCTTCTATCCCCACCCTCTCCCTCAGCGGGTTAATTTGGAGGAAGAAAATTAGCTACATGCAGAATTGTAATTGTACAGAGACTGATAAAGGGGTTAAAGGATTATCTACTGGAAACTTAGGTCTCTAACTTAAATAGGAACATTCTTCACCCCCTACTACCTCACACTTTGTTCAACATGGAACCTCTCACTTTTCAGGATCCATGAGACTACTGTTCCAGATGAGGCCAGCAGAGGGTGCTGCCCACCTGTGCAATCCTTGCCGTTCCAGTGCAACCGGCCCTGGCCTGTGGGGCAGGTACACTGGTAGCTGCCAGGAGTGTTGATGCAGCCGAAGCGGCAACCTCCCCGGTTGATGCTGCATTCGTCCACATCTGGGGGAAGGAGAAGGGAGACACAGACAGACAAATGGTGGGGGTGGAGAAGGAGCCAGGGAGTGGGCAATGAGTAAGGATCTTTGGTTAGAGTTCCAGGCACTTCAAGGTGACTACTACTACTGGCCTGAGGAGAGCTCAAACCTAAGACCTACTTCCCGTATCTGTCTAGGCTGATGGGCTTCTTAAAGGCTTCCATTCTTCCTACTAGTGGGAATGTAATTTGGGAGCTAACGATGGGAGTCAAGGGAAAGTGATGTGGATGGGGGAATAGACATTTTGGAGGCAGGATGCTATCTTTTCCCTGATACCTGATTTCTAGTTGTCTTAATTTCTCCCATTCCATCATGATGGATGCAGGCATGGCACGTGTACCTGGGGATTGCCCATAGCCACAAGCCAACTCAGGGGCTTGTTCAATTGAAGGATGAGGAGGTGTGATGGACCTGGAGGTGTGAAGCCTATAGACCTGGTAGCTGAGAATCCAAATTTGCTGGCTTACCCCCGCAGTGGGTGACACCATACAGCAGGTAGCCATGATGGCAGAGGCACTGGAAACTTCCTGGTGTGTTGACACATATGTGGTCACAGGTTCGATCAAAGGAACACTCGTCTATATCTAGAAAAGCAGAGATTCAAGTCAGGAGTCTGTCGTGTGGGAATTGACCCTGGGATCTCCTGCTCGGATGAAGGGCTCAAGTGAGAGGCCATGGCTCTCCCCTTAAATTGGAAATCCCTGTCCATGGCTGAGCCCGAGGATCAGCGATTCAGCAATGCCTGCTCATTGCCTATGCTGCCTCCACTTGGAGTCCTTGGAATTAGGAACTACAAGATCTGAAGCCTATAGATCAGGGCCACTATATGTGGTTACATCGGACCCTGCCAAGGATATAAATGGGGGTGAAACCCATCCCTCAATCCTAGCCAAGCCATGTGCGCCAGTATAGAGCTGGGCCACCAAGAAGAAGGCATAAGTTTGTTCATTTGCAGCGCGACAGTGCTCATGGAAACTCTCTACAATGTCTGTTGAGTTTCTCAGTCTCTGGCCGGGTTGAAGCTCTCCTACCCCAAGAACCTCTCCAAGGCCATCCCCTTGGCCAAAGTCTGCTCACCCTGGCAGTTCCTCTCATTGATGAGAAGCTTATAGCCCTTCTTGCAGCTGCATTCAAAGCTGCCCACTGTGTTGCGGCAAATGTGGTCGCACCCACCATTGTTCAAGCGGCACTCGTCTATGTCTGGGGAAGCAGGACAAAGTAGAGAAGAGCAAAGGTAATATTGGCTGGGTAATAAAGGTAATAAAGGCTGGGGACAAACAAGGATACAAGATCCCTCCCTCCCTCACAGACCGAATCAAGGAAAGCCGAGCCTGCCCCTTCTGACTCTATCTGCTTCTATCTGATCCTATCTGTTTCTTCCCTGTTCAGGGATGAATCTGTGCCACTAGTAACACCTTTCCTCAGGCTGAGTCCTCTTAGAAGTGGACAAATGGGAACCAGAATCAGGCCCTCAGGAAGTTGCCTGGAGCAGGAAGTAGGTGGGCTTTTGACCAACAGAGCTAGTCCATGCCCTTCATTCTGCTGCTGATGGTCCTTCCCAGAAGGTCTGGTGGCTAGGGTTTATTCCTTTCCCGCCGCTCCCCGCCATCCCCACCTGTCACAGGAGCTCAGCGGGGAGGGTGAGGAGGTGGCACAGGAAGGTGGAGGTTCAAAGGGGCAGCAGCTCTTCAGAGAGGAGAAGCCAGTGAGACTGGGTAGCTGATGGGGGAGGGGTGGGGACCAGGCAGGGGGCTCGACTGGGGGAGATCTGGAGAGGCTCAGGCCTGAGGCAGCTTTCAGCACTAGGAAGGGAAGGAGGGGGGCGGGGGTGAGCAGCTTCCTTCCTGAAGTCAAGTTCCCCAAGCTGGTGGCAGACAGGACCCAGGCTATTCACCTCTACTTGGGGGATGGGGCAGGAAGGGCAGCCTTCCACTTCACTCTTAGCATACCTGTCAACAGTCCTTCCCAGCAGGAAACCTCTCAACTGAGGCTGTCTGACCTGCTGCCCCAGCCCTCCTCCCACCCCCATCCTCTCTGCCAGCTGTTGGGCCAAAAGACACAAAAAATGAACCCAGACCTCCTTCCAGTCCCTACTGCTTGTGACCAGGGAACACAGGCCGGATGAATCATTATTTTCAGTATGGCTTCCCTTCCCCCCAGCCTTTCCCATAGACCTGGCTAATCAAAGGAGGGGAAACAGAATGGAGAATGTGGGAAACTATATCATAATAACATCTAACACAAAGTGTTTATCATTTGCCAGGCACTGTTCTAAGTCCTTTATTTATAATTTATATATAACTCATTTAATCCTTACAACATTCTGCAAGCACCATCATTCTGATGAAACTGAAGCACAGAAATGCTAAGTAACTTGCCCCGGATCATGGAGCTAATAAGAGGCTAGCTGGGATCTGAACCCATGAGCCAGGCTCCAGCGTCAGTGTTCCCAACTGCTACCCTATTCTCCTTCTGGCCACTACAGCCTTTTCACAGGGAAGGTCTGAGGAATGTGGGATAAGAAGGTTATGGAACACACTTGTGATGCACACACACACGGCTCAAATATCCTACACCCAGGGACAAATGTAAAGGGAATGTCAATTAACCAAGAGGGTTAGGGACACCTAGGGGGTAGGAATGAGTAGGGAAAACAAGTGTAGGGGTAGGGGACACCAAGGAACCGGCTAGACTTCTGTGCCCCTTGAAATGTGATGAGACAAGCCTTCGTTACGACCTTAGTTCTTTATAATTAGGATAGCCTCCAGGGGGTACAGGAGGTTTGGTCCCATAATAGGTACCCTATCTCAGATCCCCTCCTCAGCCCCTTACTCTTACACTTTTGTCCTCTGAAAGCCCTTACCTTTGCAGGTCTTCCTGTCTGGCTGCAACATGAAGCCCACAGGGCAGCTGCAGTGGACACCCGTCGCTGCATCATGGCACTTACTGTCACAGCCCCCATTGTTGACAGCACAGGTCTCTGTTTAGGAGGGACGTGGGGGATGGTAACCAAGTTATCGGCATGGAGGAGCCCCAAACTCTAGGGTAATGGAGAGCACAGAGGCCAGAGGGAAGAGGGAAAGCCTCAGCTACCTCCCTGTGCTTTAGAAGGAGCATTAAGCGGAGGCTCCCAGCCCCCATCCCCTCACAAGTGCAGCCAAGCAGTCCACGTCCCTGCCCCCTACTTGATTGAAACAAGGTGGACAGCGGTGAGGCAGGTACAAGCCAGAGCTGTCAGGCAGGAATGTGCTGAAGGGGTGGAGGAGGTGGAGAGGGGAGGGCGCAAGGAAGGATGGGAGCAATCGCTACCAGAGAATAAGAAGGGACAGACAGGAGCTTCCTCCTCTTTCAACAGACTATTTCTTTGGTGGATGGGGGGTCATGGTGGCACAATCTTGGGAAGAGTGAGCCTGATGATTCCTAGGACAGCTGACAGCCATCAATTCATCTTCCCCTTTCTCTGCCCAGATGTCTTAAGAAAGACCCACTTCCAGGGCTAACTGCTCATCCTCTGAGGACACAGTCACTTCCCAGCCCCTTCCAGGCTACCTCTTCTGGCTCCCCGCAAGCCCTCCTTAAACTAGCAGATGGAGATAAGCTGGCTGTTTGGTAGTTTTCCTCTCCTAGTGGGGAGGGGAGGAGGGGGAGCAAAAGAAGAGTCAGAGAAGGAAGGGTATAAGAAGGTAGGTCAAAGAGTTAGAGAACCTCAGAGCTGTTTCTTCTATTGCCCCCTCTTGACTGGTAGATTTTTCCTTTGTTGGGAGGCCAGAGTAGGGGTGTATGGATGGGTCACTCTATTTTTTGAACTCAGAGTAGGAGAAAAACAGGTTTAATAGCCAAGGAATTGTCAGGTAAGCCCAGGGAAAAACCATCAGCTCAAATAAGTGCAAGGCCCTGCCACAGGGGCTGTAGAGGAGGTGTGAGCCATCCTCAGGCGGAGCGGGGGGGGGGGGGGGGGGGGGGGGGGCGGCTAGAATTCTCTCATTAGAGAGATCAAATTCCAAGGCTTCTGCAAGGGATGAGGGACAAGAGGAGAGTGTTTCTCAGAACCAGGAACTGAATGAGAAAGGCGCCAGATGCTATCATCTTTGACCCCTAAAACTTCGGCACAACCCTCATCACTGAGGAGACCAGCAAGGCCAGGGCATTAGAAGGTCAACTCTGCCCGCAGGTGCCTGGTCACGCCCTGATCCCTCAAATGCCCAGGTTTGGGAGCAGCCACAGTGGGATCTTCAATGTGGCGCTCCCACCTTAGTCTCTCCTGAGGTTCCTCAAGATCACAGAAGGAACCTGGGAGGGAACCTTGAGTTCAGGCTCCAAGCCTAAGCCCTGCCAACACCCCAAGGATGTTCTTCGCATACAAAGAGGTCCCCCAAGCCCTGGAGCAGGCAGAGGGGAACAGGTCCTATGCCAAGTCATGGCTGATTCTGAGGGATCCAGGATGGGGAGTAGCAGAGCTGGCAGTGTCCATCCCAGGCTGTGGCAGAAAGCTGGGTGAGCTGCCTGCCCCTCCGGGACAGCCAGGGTCAGGGCTGTGGCAGCAGGATGGCATGGCCTCCACCCTTTGCTCTTCAGGTCACAGCATTAAAATCCCAAGTTACTCTGTGCTACTCCATATGAGGCGCTTACTAGATGTTCTCACGCACTATCTCAATCATCACAGCAACCCTAAGGGAGGACTCATCCTCCCTATTTTACAGAAGAGTAAACTGAGGATCAGAGAGGAAAGCAACTTGCTTGAGGTCATTCGGTTAGAAGGTGGCAGACCGAGAACTCAAACTCAGGTTTGTCTGAACTCACATGTCCTGTTCTACACCATTACAGTGGGAGAGGATGGTGAGTGATGCTGGAACTGTGAGCTACTGTGGGCAAGAAGCCCTAGGAGGGGGTGGCATCTAACCCTACCCACCCCGCCCTCAGGTGGCAGGCACAGTGGATGTGATGGGTAAGATGGAGCTGCTGGGTCTTCAGCTGTGTAGAGAGCAGAGAAAGGGAGGAGGCAGATGGTTGGGCAGGGGTAAGATGTTAGAAGCGGGTGAGGAAGAGAGGAAGGAGAGAAAGAAAGTGACAGGATCAAAGAAAGACAAACCAACATGAAGTCTCCCGGGCCAGCTCTGGGGGATTCGGAGACACTCAATGGGCTCAGTACCCACACTGCTGGGGGAGCCCTGCCGGAAGGCTGGGGCCCAGTCAGGCCGGGTCCAGCGGGCATGCAGTTAGTGGGAGCCCCAGCGGATCAGCCCTTCCCCTAGCAAGCCAATGAAAGCAAGCGGAGAGAGCAGACATATTTACCATTAGAAACGGCCTGGGGGGGGTTGTGCTGCTCTAGCCGCCTTTCCCCTGTTTGACATTGTAAAAAAGCTGTTTAGATGCTGGGCAGGAGCCCTTGTGGCCCACAGAGCCCCAGCCCCTCCTCACCCTCCTCCACCCTGCAGGCCCAAACCACTGTCCCCATATGATGAGCCCTGAGACTCTGAAACTTTACTCCCCAGCCTTCTGCTGCCTGGTAACCTCAAGGAGGCTGGATTCCCACCAAGTGACTGATGGGAAAGTGTCAGAGAGGGGCAATCATGGGCCCAGTACCACACAGCATGCCAAAGGCAGAGCTGGGAATCCAACCTTAAGTCTTACAAGCTGCCAGATCCCAAAGGTGCCGGCTTTCCGCTATACTGTACTGCCCTCAGCCTCCCCACTAAATCTGAGTGGCCTGACGGCCCCGAACAACGACGTTTATGCCTGCCAGGGCTGGGAAGAAGAATGAGGTGCAGGACAAGGTAAAGTAAGTTCTACTGGAGGAGAGGGAGAGGAGCTCGGGAAAAACATGGCTGTGGACCTTAGAACAGCCTTGTTTGCTCTCTTTGACCTCACTTGGTCATGGCCCGGAAGGCAGAATGGAAGGGAAGAGCTCAAGCTTAACGGGTGTTTTCAAAAGCAGCCGTGCCCAGGACCATCTGCTGAGAGAGACCCACCCCACATCCAGGGGCCCCGAGCTCTGCCCTGATACATGCAGCTTTTCTTCCCTGGGGGCTGCATGCAGTTTCTTTAGGGAGGCTCTGGTGACGGGTGAGTGTATCCAGGGGACGGTGGGAGGTTTGGAAAGCAGAATTAGATTTATGAGGGCAAAATGAAAGGAGCTGGAATAATCAGCCTCGAGAAGGCAACAGGGAGACCTAAAAATGCTCTAAGGTCTTTGAAGAGTTAGTTCAGGAGAAAACATGTAGCGGGGGAGACTTTAATCAGAGAACTTCAGGACTGTGCATGCAAGTCTCTGGAGCAGGTACCTGAGGGAGACCTTTAAGAGCATCATCTGCTCCCCTGTTCTTGTGTCTGGGGAAAAGCTGGTGCTGTCTGCAGAGATGGGGTGGGTCTCTGGAGTGGCATGGGGGACAGCCTGGTTCATAAGCTGAATGTCATAACTCTGATAAACACAGAGTGACTGTGTTCGTACTTCCCCATCCCCAGCATGTTGTAGCCATGAGATGAGCTGCCATCCATGAATCCTGTGCCCACAGAAGCAGCTCCCTGCTTCCTGGCTAACTCCTCTTTCATTCCCACTTCTCCAAGGGGTCACTGGCCCCATGATCTTTCTCAACACCCTGAGAGCACATAGTGATTGGCCTTCACGAGAGACCTGAAGACAGGGAATTAGGAATCAAACTTAAGGAATTAAGCTCGCCTGTGGTACCTGAAGATGCATGAGGTAAGGCTTAGGAAGTCAGGAAAAAGGACCTGGGGGTGTTAAAAAGGCCCCACACCAGGGCAAGAGGGATGGAAGGCAGGAGTTGGTGAGGAAGTGAGAGGCCACAGACGGAGCTGCAAGGGAGTCCCACTGGGATGCGGAAGTGAGAGAAGGAAACTGGGGAGTGGAAGGGAGAGAGAGCCTACAGAGGAGGAAGATACCGGGAGTCAGGAAACCCCATCTGTCAGGGCTGGTTGTTCAGGAAAGAGCACTCTGTCCCACCCTCAGTTCCAGTGGCGACAGTGAGCTGTGATAGCTCCCATCTTACCACACCGGTCAACCAGAGCCTCTGTTCAGGCTTAATCCTGCATCGCCCCAGCTCTCCTCCCCGTTCTCTACCACAGCCTTGGCCTACAAGTGCCTCTGTTAATTATTCCCAGTTTGGCAACACTTTATCCTGGATAAAGAGGGCGGTGCTGCTGTCAACAGTGGGGCAGTGGAACTAATGGGTGGGGAAGAAAAAGAGGGCTGGGGAGCAAGCCTTCAGTCTCGCGCAGTTGTCCCTACCTAGACCTGGCACTGTCTGGGTCTTCGCCTCACTCACCAGTCATCCTGCGCCCAGCACTTGGGCCCCATGTGCTCCCCGCTCCCCTGGATCCCGAGGGCCCCTACTCCCTTCCCCCATCACAGGTCGACTAAGTTCTCCACTGGCCTCACCCACCGATGCATGTCTTCCCGTCGGTATGGAGCACAAACTTGACGTGGCAGCCGCACCGGGGACCCTGCTCTGTGTCATCGCACGTGTGCTGGCAGCCACCGTTACCGTAGTTGCACGTCACTGTGCAGAGAGGGCAGGAGACCCGTCAGCTTGCTTCTCCCTGTATCACAGTTCTCCCTCCAGAACACAGTTGCTGACCCTCTTGTCTAGCTGCCTCTCCCATGCTCCCTTTTCCTCCCACCTCTTGCTGCTGAGGCCCCACACCCCACCTCTTTGTCTCCCTGTCTCCCCACTGCCATCCAAGTGATCTCACATTTACAGTCCCGTTGGTTCTTGGTGAGCTCGAAGCCAGGGCGGCATTCACAGGCAATACCCCCTTTGGGTGTCTCCCGGCAAATGTGAGCACAGCCGTGGTTCTTGTTCATGCAGTTCATTCCTTCTAAAAGGAAGGAGGAGCAGGGTAAATGCTCTATACTTCTGGATGCCTAGAAGAAGAGGACCTACAAGGGACAGTTGGGGCGCAGGAAATTGGGAGAATCCCAGTGAGGCTGCCAGACAGGGAGGGGACTGACTCCCTCTCACACGCTCCCTGTCCTGCCCACAGAGCTCAAAGCCATTCCAATTAATGTACAGGTATTGCCACCTAACCCCCAGAAAAGCTGCATGATCACCCTCTCCTTCAAACAACCAAAATCTAGTGTCTAATCATTGCCTAGTACTGTGTGAGGTACTGAGAGGATTTAGGAAGGACCCATATAGAAGACAAAACGTAACACATGTTCTCTTTTCTCAAAGAGCTTACAGTTAAACTGGGAAGAAGATAAATAACATAATATGAGTGGGGAGTAATTGGTATAGATAATTATTATATGATTTTATTCAACAAATATCTAAGCTCCCACTACATACAGGACAGACAGTACATTAGGTTCTGGAGATATAAAGGGAAATTAGTCATAGTGCCTGCCCTCAGAAATGTCACAGTCCAGGGGGGAGGGAGCCCCAGAAAGAGACAGCACATACCCACTCTTCCTGCCTGACCCTCCCCATCCAATCCAACGAATACAGCATCAGTCAGGCCCCCTCAGATAATAGCAGCTTAGAGCCCAGCCACCTACAGTCAACTAGGAACAAGATCCACCTTGGGCCTATATACAGGGGATGCCCCAGAGTAGCCTCAATCCCACACTGACCCCAACCCCAAATATATTCCCCCAGATTTTTCTTGAAGACAAAGTGTCTATTCATGGAGCCCTTAGGATGTGATTGAGTTGACAGACAAGAGAAGAAGGAGCCAGTACAATTGAGAACACTGGATGAGACCTAGGGGGTATTGAGGGAAAGCTTCCAAGGAGATGGAGTGGGGAGCCTGGGGGCACAGCCCTCCCAGGACCTGGGCTGACCTTCGGGCCGTTGGATGCAGGTGTGCTGGTTGTCGCTGAGGAAGAAGCCTTCCCGGCAGTGGCACTCGTAGCTGCCCATCATGTTGACACAGCTCTGCTGACAGCCACCATTGCCCTCGGCACACTCGTCCACATCTGTGCAGGAGAGTGGCTGGTGAGGCCGTGCGGTGCCGGGCAGGGTCCAGGTTGTGCACACACACTACCCCCTCGTCCCCAGTCCAACACCCAGTCTCAGGCCGGGCAGTTCTCACCCACTCATCAGCTCATGTTCCACTGCTCGTGAAGAGGCTGCTCTAAGAGGGCAGAGCTGTCGAGCTAAGCAGGTGGCAAGAGGACATCTGAACGTGGGTTACTTAGGTGAAGACTTGCCCCACCTTCCCTGACCTGTTGGAATTCAGTCTGAGGGCAGAGAAGATCAAGAAGGCAGGCAGATCCAGAGGAACAGAGATGAAGAGTGGGGATTGGATGGGGCAAGGAACTAGGGGCAGCTGGTTGTGATGAACAGCCAAGGAATCAGAGAACCTGGGAGATGGCTCCGTGTGCAGGGAGAGCTATGGCAATGGTGTTGAGGTCAGTGAGGCACAGACCATGTCTGTGGACAGGCCACGGGCCGTCCTTCCTCCCCTCCCCCCATGCCCAGGCTTGCTGCCATAGTCCCCAGCCCTTCTCCTATTTTGGTTTAATAAAACAAAATCTGGTGGCTTGGTGGCAAGGGTCGGGGGAGAGCTGCCAGGCCACAGCCTAATCACCACCCACATCACCATCCGCAGGTCCGAGGGCCAAGCTCATCCTGGGGCTCCCACTTCAATACCTCGACTCCGTTTCTATGCTACCTACTGCCCTCTCAAACCCACAGCCCTTCTCAGTTTTCCTTGGCCCAGGAGGCATGAGGGAGATTGGTTCCCAGGTGGAGCAGCTGGAATCTGGGCTCCTGAGGGCTTCATCTTCCCCTCTCTTCCCATCCTCTCTGCTGAGCCCTAAACTCTGTCCTTTCACCTTCTGGTCATAGGTCGAGGGCCCCAGATACAGCAGGCTCCGGCCTGAGAGATGCACTTGTTAGAAAAGCCAGGGAGGTGTACTTTCCTTTGCGTTCTCCTGTCCCTGTCCCTCTGTTGTGACACTCATGACTTCTACGCATCCCTGTCTTCTTGCTCTTGCCCCATCCTACATTCCATCCTTCTTTGTTCCCTTCTATTCCAACCTTGAGACTTTGCTACTCTAGCCAAGTTCTTTCCTACAATCCTCACTGGGGAAACTAAAGCCACCCAGGGCATAGAGCACTTCCTCATGGTTCCCCTAAAAGCCACAGGTAAGGCTAAGATTTTGAACCCAACCCTAGGGTTAGTGTTAGATAGATCTTTGCTCCCAATGACCCCTTCCATACATACTCATTCTCTCATCTTCTGGTTGGTTTTATAAGGAAACAAGACTTAATGAGAATTGGGGGCCTAGAGAGGTCAAAGGCAACCAAAGAAAGTCAGAAGCTGACGTTCACAGTCCTGTAGGCAAATCACTGTCCTGGTCCACGTGTCACAACTGCTCTTTCCAAAGGAGTTCCCAAAGAGGCTCTCATAGGTGATGGGGCAGACAAAAAATGAGGTCCTTCCCTGGCAGCGACAGTGTTAAGAGAGGTGGCTGGGGCTGAGGGTAAGCAGGAACTGGGGCCTAGAGGCCGGGGCTGGGAGTGGAAACCTGTAAGCCTGGTCCGAGCATGGACTGTGACTGGGTTTAAGGCAGCTCCGCAGTAAGGAAGCTCTCCTAGGCCAACAGGGCCTCAGGTAATTCACGTTTGGTCAGGTGGGGGTGGGGAGGGCAGCCTAGCCTGCTTTTCTGGGCATCATTCCTCTTGCTTCTCTTCCTTTTCTGGTTTTCCATTCTTCCCATCTCATGTCTGTTTTGGCACCAGCAAGAAAGAATTTGGGGATGGACCCCTGGGTCCATATCTCAAATCCTTTTATGCTATGGCCTTCAGTTTTTCTACTTATGGAGGAATCTGACATGGTCCTAGTAAAAGATAGAAACCAAAGTTGAGCTTAGTTCCCTGGAGATTCTCTTTCTGATGCAGTTCCCAGGATAAAGGAGGTCAGGTCAAACAGAGGCCTCGGAAGTGAGGAGAGGGTGAGCCTGGAGATTTCAGGAAGAGCTGGGAGAAAACCTGCCTGCAACGGTCAGATGCTCCCCTGGGCACAGGGAGACATCCAAAGCGTTGACAACATTTCTCCTGTGTACAGAGCACCCAGTAGGTGCTAGGATTGTACACATGTTCTCTCATAGTGATTCACCCAGAGCACTTTGAGGAAGCTGAGATTCCCAGAGACTAATGGATTTGCCCAAGACCACACAGCTAGTAAGCGGCAGAGCCAGGATCTGCCAAATCGCCTTCCCACCATGCTCTGCCCACCGGGGCTAAACCCACTCTTGTCATCTCCTGGCCCTGGTCCTGGGAGTACTTTCTGGCAGCGTCTCCTCTGCTATTTTTCATCCAGGAGCGGGATGATTTCACCCTTGGTGCCCAGTCTCAAAGGGGAAACCAAACTTGTTCTCTATTTTGAAGCTTTTTGGTCACTTTCCTCTCCTTGCCTGGGAAATGGGAAATGCTGACAACACCTTCTTGCCCACAAGACACCCCCCACCCACATCCCCTCTCCCGTGCTCACCCAGACAGTTGTGTCCATCATGTGCCAGGTGGAATCCATCATAACAGGTACATCGGTAATTGCCAGGGATGTTGACACAGTCGTGCACACAACCTGCATTATCCTCTCGTTCACACTCATCCACATCTGTGGGCAAAGGGGGCTGAGGCAGCTGGACCCATCTAGGTGCCCCCCACTATCCAGCCCTGCGGTAGTTTTTTAAAAAATAAATCACCTTCTGTGTGTTTTACATACTTTCACAGCCTACAAACCATTTTGCACTTTGTTATTTTCATCTAAAGTCAAACATTTTCACATGTTTCCATCCAGTCTAATTACCACTGCACATGGTTGCAGAACATTCTATTGTGTTGCTATATCATAATTTGTTTTTTCTCTATTGTTAGACTCCGTTTATTTTATTATCATAAATAAGGCATCAAAGAATATCTTCTCCCATTATTATTTTGTTTCTTTGAATTTCCTTTGAATAAGAGTAAAATTCCTGGGTCAAAGGGTATAAATACCTTTCAAGAGTCCTGCTAGGCATGACAAAATCGCTTTTCAATTTATAATGTCACCAGGAATTAATGAGTGGACCTTGTCCACTGAAACCTTATCAACACGGAAGGTGATAAATTTAAAATAACATCTCAAGACTGCTTTATTTGCATTGCTTTTATTATGAGGGGAAAGTGTGTTTGTTTACAGTATGAATTTCCCCTGGGATAAACTGTTCTCATCTTTTGTGGACGTGGAGGAAGAATCCAATGTCAGGGAATCTCAGGCCTTCGTCCCATGATTCTAATCCTCCCACCCAGCCCGGTTTGTGCAAATTAGAAAGTGGCTCTCTCTCTGGGAAGAAATAGCTCCTCCCCTCTCACATCGCATGAGCCCCCCTCCCCATGCCAGCGGGAATGGGGGGGGCCTTAGTGTAAAGCACAGTGCAGCCACCTGCAGGGCCGGGCCGGGGCACTTCTTTCCCCTCCCCAGCAGGTCCCCCTTGTCCAGGTGCCCTCCCAGCCTCACCTTTGCAGTGTTTACCATCCCCTGTGTAGCCAGACTTGCAGATGCACTTGTATGACCGTGGGGTGTTCTGGCAGATAGCATCAATGTGGCAGTTGTCGGTCCCCTCCACACACTCATCCACATCTGGGAGGGGCAGATGGTGCACATGAGACCCTCTGTTGGTGCCTCCCAAAGAGTGTCTTCAAGGTGGTTCCCCAAGGGCAAAACCCCCTCTTCTCCAAAATAGGGACGGTGGCTCCTCCAGAAGCAGGTGCTCTCCCACACCCGTCTGATTTGAGTGGCCTCTGTAATTTCAGGAATTTAGGGAAAAAACCCCACTTCCCTCCAAAATACTTAATCCACAATGACAGCTAAAATTCCATCAATTGAAACACTTCTCTTTGATTTAAAAACAAACAAAAACCCTTGGAATGGGTAACACACTTAACCTGATTAGAAATGTTCAACCTAGTGTGAGTTAGGAGCAAGCTTGGAGGGAGGGGGAAGAGAAATGGCATGCGGACAGTGGCCTCTGGGAAAGTGGCGGAGGCCAGGCCCACTGGTAATTAAAGGAGGAAGAAAGGGAGACAGAGCATCTGAGAAATCCGCATTTGCCTCCTGATCCTGCTTGAGACCAGGCCTGCTTCCACTTGCCCACCACAGCGCCAGGAATCTTTAGAGGAAAGAAGTTCCATCCTGGAAGATTTCCCTCGGCCCCTGTGCTGTCAGTGCCGTGGGGACCAGGAGCTGGCGGGACGGCGGGGCGGGAGGGGGGCGGCTGGCACCGACACCTAAAGTCTGATAAGTGCAGCCCTTGTGACTGTCCCAGCTGCCTCAGGCCCATGCACCCCACCACCCCGAGCTCCTCACCGAAGGTCAGGTGCTCCGCCCTCCTGACCCTCACTTTGACATGCGGTGCTACTCACAAAGCTATGCTAAGGGGCGAGGTCACCTAAGATCAAGCAAAAAGAGGATGGTTCAGAAAGAACATAGGAAAGAGAATCATTTATTGCCTCTTGGCAAAAGACTACAGTTTCTGGGGTAATGGTTTGGTGCCCCTAAAGCTGAACTGAAATAGAAGAAAAGAGTTTCATTCAGCTGAAATTGCTATATAAGGTGTTTGCAAAAGGGACTATGCTGAAGGCTGTGGAGGCTCAGAGGTGACTCAGCCCACCCAAAAAGAGGCACAAATAAGTAACATGAAGCAGGATGAGGCTGAGTGCCACGAAGGCAGCAGAGATGAGGCCAGGGGTTCCTCAACCTGGCTGCACAGCGGAGCACCACCCGAGGCGGTGCTCCAGCTCCCCGCCTCTCCCTCGGGATTTTGATCAACTAGTCTGGGCTGGAACCTGGCCATCAGCATTTTCCTGTGGCTCCTCAGGTAAGTCTAGTACACAGCCAGGCTTGAGAATTTCTGTTAAAGGGAAGAAGATCATAGGAAGAAGGGATTAGTTCTAGCTGTGAATTGGGAAACTCAAGATAGGGTTTAAGTAGCCACTTGCAAGTAGAAGAAATATATCAATAAACGACTACATAAAGGACTATAACTTCCAAGTGTGATCCGTGGACTATAGAACTGCTTGGCTTTTGTTAAAACGCAGATTCTCGGGCCTTATCACTGACCTATTTGAACCCAAATCCTTAAGGTGCTTGATATCTTTTAAACGGAATGAAGGAACGCATGGACCAACAACCACTCACATTTATAGTGACACTCATGAGTCCTAGCTTGAAATAGTTAAGTGTCCTCTGCTTTCATATTTCAAGAAGTACTACGGGGGCAGGATTGAGGAGGCTTCCTGAAGAGAAGTGAAATTTGGAAGAGTGGCCCCGAGCACCCTGCCCCAGATCTTCTGGGCTTCCTGTCAGCTCCTCACCCATCCTCCAACTTTCTTCAACTCCTCTGCAGCAAGCCACCACCACCAGAGATTCTAATTGCGGTAAGTCCCACTGGTTCTCCACCTCACTCAGGCTCTGCCTGCTGGCCCACTCTAGGAAGTCGTCTCAAAGAGAGAACAGAGAAGAGGGAGATGGAAGACAAGTTCATAAGAGAGGGCAGGAGGGACCTCTGTATGGAGTAAGGCTGAGCGGAGAATCAGTCTGTCCAGCTGACAAGGAGAAAATGGTGCTAAGAAATGTACTCTCATAGGAAGAGCCTAAGCTCGGGCACCAGTCAGTCCCAGACTCAAGTCCAGCTCTACCACTCTCTACGGAGGTTTTTCTGATTCTCTTTATTTCTTCCTCCTTAAAATGGGGATGATATACCTCCTCTTCAGAGGCTGTGAACACTTGATGAGGTAATTTGAGTAAAGTACCTAATCAATGTCTGGCAAATAACAGGTCCCCAATATATGGAAGCTTGAGATGATGTTAAGTATTAAATCTCTGGTGGAGACAACAGATGCTCAGGGACTGTGCTGTTTAAGATGTTAGACACTAGGCACATGCGACTATTTAATTTAAAATTCAGTTCCCCAGTTGCTCTAGCAGTAGGCCAAGTTGTCAATAGTCATCTATGGCTATTGGCTACCATAGTGGACAGCACAGATACAGAACATTCCCACCCTCACAGCACTGCTCTAGGAGTTCCAAATTAAGGGACTCCCCTGGGCGTAGGTGGACCAAAAAACTTCCCAAGGAGTGGGATTCAAGTTGAGTTTTGGAGCTGGGATAAATGTGACAAGAGGAAAGGGCAGCCCTGGGTGGTGTGGGTCAGTGGGTTGAGCGCCGGCCTGTGAACCAAAGGGTTGCCAGTTCAATTCCCAGTCAGGGCACATGCCTGGGTTATGGCCAGGTCCCTGTTTGGGGGTGTGCAAGAGGCAATGGATCGGTGTATCTCTAGCACATTGATGTTTCTCTCCCTCTGTTTCTCCTTCCCTCCCCGTCTCCCTGAAAGATAAATAAATGGAATCTTAAAAAAAAAAATTAAAAAAAAGAGAGAGGAAAGAGCATATATCAAGTGTGGTTAAATTTGTGAAGAAAGACAAGGCACCCAGTGTTGGTCCCTCCTGTGTCCCCATATTTACACCTGCCCTCCACAGTGGGTAAAATATTTTTAACAACTAATTCTAAACTTTGAATGGCTTAAGGCTTAGTGTTATATGTTCTTGGTGGGTCCCTGGAGGCAGGGGCAACTGGATGATCACCCTCTTCCCTGTGGTAACCCTTGTGGGCCTTAGAGATGGGTGTGGTGCTTTGGACAGTTCCAGTGACGAATAACCATCCTGTTCATCCTACTTGGAACTCTCTTCTTTCGTGTCTCTCCTTCCCTTCCCCAGCAGCCAGCAGGGCGACTCGGAAGTTCATCTGGAAGCTCCTCCTCTAGGGCCATCTCAGAGGTATATGCCTGTCTCCGAACCAGCTGATGCTTCGCCAAGGTCTGCGTCAGGCTCTCTGGGCTCCCAGCTCTTTCCTCTGCGTCCATTTCAGTGCTCAGCAATAGCAGAGCGGACCCAGATGCTGACTGCAGCAAGCCCAGGCTTCCTGGCAGAGCCTTTGGTCTCTTCCAGCTTTTGGCTTTTCCCGCCATCTTGACCCCTCTCCCTCATCTCCCCGTTCACAATGATTATCCCTCTCCGGCAGAGTCTTCGTGCACTGCAAGACTGTATCTCCTCCCTATTCGCTCTACAACTAACCATTCTACCTCTTTCCGCACAGTCACCAACGCATCACATTCTTCACATTTGAGATGCATCCTCTTTTTCCTTCTAGCACACTGTACCCAGCTCCCCAGATATGGCTCAACACTGTCTACCCAAAAGCTCTTCCTGCCAAGTTCCCAGTCCCAGGGGACTCAGTGTGCCTTAGCTCACTTCCATCTATTGTTGCACTGCTCTGCTAAGACTTTAAAGCCACCTCGTGCCCTTGCTGGTGTGGCTCAGTTGGTTGGAGCATTGCCCCATACACCAAAAGGGGGATTAGATTCCTGGTCAGGGCACATACGTAGGTTGTAGGTTCAATCCCTGGTCAGGAGGTGTATGGGAGGCAAGGAATTGATGTTTCTCTCTCTCCCCCCCTCCCTTCCCTCTCTCTCTAAAATCAATAAGCATATTTTGAAAGATTTTTTTTTTTAAAGCTATCTCATGTGGGATGTCCCACTTTGCTCACTTGGCTGGTCACTTGCTGAGGAAGTGACCCTTCAACTATTTGGACAGAACCTTTCAAAGCAGAACAGATCTAAAACAGAGCTCTGAAATAGGGCCCTCACATATTTCCAGCATTTTCTCCTTTGCTAGTTCATTCTTTCAGAGCTCCCTCCCAACACAGTTGCCCACCCGCAAGGTGTCCATACTGGGACCCCATCAACACCCACAGCATAGTTGCACCTTAGCTTGTTCCCTCAGGATGTGGGTGTTTCCTAGCTGGCCTGACAAAGCAGTGAATGCTGTTGAGCAGGGATTGGTTTAGACCAGTGGTTCTCAACACTGGCCACACACTGGGGTTCCTTGGGAGCCTTTTAAAAAGTGTGACTGTCTGGGCATTCTCCTCGACCAGCTGTGTGAGGGTCCCTAGGGTGGACCTGGGTTATTGCCTGTCTTCCTTTTCCCAACTCAGGGGATGTGAATAGACTCTGCTCAAACTGGAAAGAAACTGGGGCAGCCTCATGACATAGTGTTTGAGAAAAGTGGTTCTGGAGTGGCACTGTGTCAGTTCAAATGCCAGTTCACTCACGGCTGTGTGGTCCTGGACCAGCCTCTGACCTCCCATGTGCCTTCCTCTGTAAATGTGAATCATAATAATGGCACCTTCTCTTGGGGCAGCCATGACTATAAAATGAGTTAATACTTACCAGGTACTTAGCACTGCAGTGCAGGCATATAATAAGTGCTCAACAAAGGTTCACTATGTTTAGTCCTTCTCTCCAACTTTCTCCCCAGTCTCCTTTATGAACCCCTCTTTCCTCTGGGCTTCCCTTTATCAAAGCCCCATTTCAAGCCTGGTGTGGGGAAATGCAGCAGCGGGGGGCATGTGCTGGTACAGAGAACTTGGGTTCCACTGCCTACTCCACCCCCTACTGGGAACTGTCCAAGGAGGAGGCTGAAGTGGGTGAGAGGCCAGTTGGGAACCAAAAGGTTGCCTTCCACAATCCTTTGTGAAGGCTATTCTTTTGTGCCCTTACCCCACCCCAGGCACTGGGCTGGGTC